TTATGATTGATATCCTGTTCAGTAACCATATTTTTAAATATGTTTTTTAATGAATAACATATTGATTTAAGGAAGGATTTATTTGAACTGAGTGATTTTACTGAACATACATTTTTTGGCCAAGATGCAGTTATACAAAATCACTCCTGTATAAAAACCAATTTTAGATTCTAAATGAAGCAAAGGAACTTATGGCCTTACAAAGATATTTTTTTTTTTTTATCAGTGTATAACTTTTCTACTAGAAATTTTGCTCCAATTTTGCTCTAACAAAGAAGGGAAAAGTAGGAAAACTGGGAAAATTGGTACAACATTAAACAAATATTATTAAAGAAAATATATAAAGCCTATTTAATTATTTTACTATAAAATGAAATTTATATTTTTGACAAAACATCATTATCAACTAAACTCCACTTAAAATCATATATTTTTTTGTAAGCAATGGTTTATCGTTGTTTACAAGTGGTTGCATTTGCCCTCATTATCTTAGTAGGTCTTTTTATTTTAATACTACATTTTTTTTAGGTATTTATACAAAAAGAAAAAGTCTTCTTAAGTTAATGAAAAATTCAGTTTAGAACCTAAACATACTAATTTTTCTAGGTTGAGTAAGGAATACTCATCTTTATAAAGAATCTCAAGGATTTTTGGAAATAGATTATTAACAAATTTTAAGTTGAATGATTCTACAATTCTTAGTATAGCAGCACTAATTATTATTTACTAATTTGAGATTTAATAAAAAATTTTTAAATTCTTTTGAATCGTTTAGTTTTTTCCAATATTTTGGTAAAACCACACTTAGACTTGGCTCTTTTTGTGTTTTGGGGAAGCATAGATTTGAGATGATAAAAGTAAATGTTATTTAATCTTTGGGATTTACATATAGATTAGATGGTATTACCCAGTAGGTTGAAAAATTTGTCACTGACTTATCAAATTTCATTAGATAAACAAATTGTAAATAAAAAAAGCATAATTCCAACATGCGAACAACATTCACCTAAACCAGCTATGCAAGTGCAATGTGCAACCTAAACATTTTCACAACTCTTCAGCACAAGGCTAAAGTTTAGCATCATTCATTCTTTGAGAATAAGCTATTTAATAAGCATAGAATAAGAAAGGAATTTAATTGTTTTAAAATGAGCATGTATATGATAAAATATTATAATTATTAATACTCAGTACTTACCTCAACAACTACAAGTATATAATCATTTAAAGCAAGTCATATAGCATTAAAAGCCCAATCAAATACAAACATGTAGTAAACATTTAAATCTGTATATGATTTAAATTGTTATAAAAACTTTTTGTTAAAACTAAGTAATTAAAAATGTAAGGGAGATTGGCTGCAAAATTTCCATATTATTTATCCAAATGAAACTTGAGTCCATCATCAAAAAATAGGCATTTTTTGAACCTAAAACCTCAATTTATTTTCAAATATTTGTTCTTTACTGTGCTGTCACGATTACTTAAATAATCAGATATTATAAGTTATTTACAATCTAATAAAATTAATATATAAAAATGAAACTGGAATATGATTTTTAAAGTTTAAAACTAAATAAATAATTTGTTTTTTTAAAAAAAATTAAGGAAAAATACAACAATATTAACCTTAAACCAATTAATATTGGACCACCATCTGATGATAAGAATGTTTTAAGACTAAAATTTAACCTCAAACAATATGATCAATTTTATTTTCATACCTTAGGGAAATAATAACCATTCTGCTGATGTTATTGGTAATGTATCCTGTCTTTTTTTACTCTATTTGATTACATATTTTGAATTAAATAAAATTATATACACATTCACTTATTGACATTTGTATTTATTGATTATAATATTTTTATTTTTTTGCATGTTTTCTTAATGGCTTCCCAGAGTTGAATACCATATAACTATATGAGTTTAAGTAGGACATTACAGATGTGTACCAAATTTATTTTATAAATTACTAAAATTTGTACTTAATTATTAATGTTACACTATTATATTATACTTATTAAATTTAATGTTATATTANAATTAATGGCTCAAAATAAGTTCTATCACAATAGAACTCATGAATTAATTTATAAAATATATGATTTTATAATTTACTAATTTATATATATCAAGTTTAAATTGATATAAATAAATGTAAAACCAACAATTATTAAAATAATTTAGTTAAAAAATGTGGTTGACATATACAATCTGCACTTAAACACTTCTTGTTTACAGCCATAGTCAAAGGGAGATGAACTCTTAAATTTGGATACTGAAATTTCTGGAACAAATTTTAAACAATGTAATATATATATTTTTAGGACTAAAAGTTTAAATAGTAATATAAACCTGATTCTTGTATGTTGCATCAATCTGAGTCATATACCCTTACATATTTTCCCTTGTATTATCTATATACCTAGGGACTCAAGCCATCGATTCCTCGGACAATTTTAATTGCAAAATACCCCTTGATTTGCTGTGTAAACTTTACTACCAAAAATCTTCCTTCAATGTACCAAATGTAGCTTATTTTCTAAAAGGAAATTTAATGTCCATGGTAATTTGAGAAGGTCATTTTTTGATTTTCCCTAGTTTTCCCAATAAATGGAAAAAGTCGTGAAAAACAGACAAATTTATAAAATACAGTAAAATATTACGAATTTTTTTTCTGTAGACAACTTTTTTACCAGCAATTTTGCTCTGATTTACATCTGACTGTGGAGGTACTTTAGAGAGATAACTTTTTGATATTCCCAAAAATTTTCCCAGCAAATGTGAAAAACCGGAGGAAAAATGGGAAAATTGGTACAATGTTAAACAAATATTATTAAAGAAAATATATAATGTCTAATTATTTTACCATATATGACATACATATTATTGATAAAGCATCAATATCAAATTGACTGAGAAGACTGAAAGAATCGTTTTTCAATAGCAATTGTTTATCATTACTTACAGATATACATTTAATTATCAATAATAGTGGCTTCACTTGACCCTATTATCCTAAGATGTCTCTATAATATTTATTTGATAAACTGACTGGAACATAAATTTTGAACTGTTTACTTTGTATATTAATTGTTACAAAAGTTTAAATTCATTTTCAAAGCAATTTACATAATAAAACTGAGCAATATTCATAAGAGAAATCAACTGTAATGATACTACTTCACTTTTTACTTTGTTAAAATGTTCGGTATTAAAATATCATATTTGTACATATTTGTTTTTTCTTTCTCTTTGGTTGTATGATTTTCAATATAATATTATTGTATAGGCTAATTTATATTTATATAATTGTTTTTCAGTTTTTCTAAAACAAATAACATAATATAATAAATCAGTTATATGAACTAACATTCAATTTTAATTTCGTTTCACTAGATTTCAACTCTTGGTCATATTGGTAAATAATACACTAACACAGTAATTCCTGTTCTGTTTTTAATGGATATCGCTTTCACTGAAAATAAATATAATAATTATATGCATGCAATATATAATTTTAAAATATTAAAAACAAAAAAAACCAATTTACATCTTTGGATGTATCTTTATGAAAGTAACCTCTATGCATCTCTTATATAGTATATGGTTAAATACAAAAACTACCATAAGGTTTAAAAATAATTTTTTATGAAATTTAATAATCTTCACCTAAAACATAATACTAAATTGAGTTATTACAAGATTATCAAAAGATAAGATAAGGTACTGAACAATTTAAAAAATATATTAATTTAAAACAATTGCATAAAAAAAATTAAAAAATTATGCCTTCATTCTATACTTATTACATAGATATGTGTGGATAGATATCTATTGATGCAGTGAACTTTTTTTACCTATGAGGCCAATTTAGAACACCCATCACCTTTAAAAAAAATACATTTTATTTTTAGTGAGTATAGGATCCCATTTTTATTTTTATTAGATAATATTTTGATCTAACTTTGTAGGAATTTCTTTTACAAAGTAAAGATCAACTTGGTAAAATGTAATTGTTAACTTGTATGTTATCACAGATATTTTTCTTTTTAATTTTAAAAATTCAAACATTTCTTCTTAGAAATACATAAAATACTAGTACCTATATTTATATAGATACTAGTCTTATTTCTCAGTAGGTACATACTTCTCAAATATATGCCACACACTTTCAATTTTAGACTACATACTTTGTGTCAGGACTCAGGGTTCACTAACAAAATACGAACACCCACCAATAGATTTTTTATAAGCAAATAATTTGAATAAATCCTATGCTAAAACCATTTAGAGGTATATGCAGCTGCACTAACATTATTATCTAAATATTGATCTTGTATATACAATATGCTATATGGATACTACTATTATACTAATAAAATATTAAACGACTATACATTATTGGCCATTTTAATTGTAGATTAAATATAAGAACAATTCATTTGATATGTTATAAATCCTTGTATAAGTCATAGATCATCTAAACCAACTACAGAAAATGCAGAAAATGTGGCATGGCCTCTCAACAATTCTTTCACCATGTTATAGTGTCTACATCATACAAATCTATAATATAGGTATGTTCACTAGCACCAGGCTATTCACTAGCCTGGTGCGTTTTAACAAAAAATGTACAATTTATTTTAGATTTTATTTTAGAATACATTGTTTATTTTAACCAAATAATGTTATTGATGCTATTAGGTGGTCCAGTTAATTATTGTAGGTAGGGACTCTGAAATGGGTAATATATATTGCGGTGAAATACCCACATATGTAGTTATGCTAGAGATGATTAGGTAGGTACCTATAATTGTAGCCAAAAACACCTAGTCTTTGTGACATTATAGAAATTTATTTACTTATTTATCGTATGACATATTTTGACAAATAATATACATAAAAAGTTGTAACATGGAATAAAAAACAAAAAATAAAAATAAAAATAATAGAATAAAATAAAATAACCCATATAAAAATGATAATAATATAACAATNAATCACTCATTTTACCTTCGAATTTTCTTTTAGAACAGCCTGACACAATGTGTTGTATTGTCTGAGCCGCATTTCCACAATCACAAGCGGGATTATCTCGAAGCTTCCACTGGTGCATAGAAGTGGGGAGGATGGTGGTTGCCTGCACGTGGCCCTCCCTGTATGCGCTTGTAGATTTCCTGAAGACCCTTGTGTACGAAGACAGACTACGAGCGTATCTAATACCACCACGAAGGCGCTGATACCCAGCAACAGACACAGCATTATAGAAATAGGTATCATCCTATAATAATAAACCTAATATTCCCAGGATAAAAATATTATTATAAAGTGTGAACGAATATGGCATTTGTTGCAGTTGTAAATTTAATATTTCAGTTACCTTTCATTTCATTCACCTACCTTCGTGAAAATAGTTCCCGACCAGCAGTGATATGATATCTTGAAGAAGTCCAATGAATGTGATTTTTATTTGATTTAAGTAAACAATAATTATGTATTTCATGTATATCATGTAAACTAGAGAAAACAAATTACAAACCACTGTAATATTTTGTTCATAGTTTACTAAAAGTTAATTTAATATAATATAACATAACATAACATAATGTTTTTCAACTGATAACAAAAATGGCGTTCTGTGATCATAACCGTGGTCACCACGTTATATAGTGCCGTGGTGATAAAAACATAATTACGGGCAACATATTATCATTATAGGTAATTCAATTTACAAAGGAGATGCCATTGTCAAGGATATCGGGTCATAAATAAATAATACCTAATAGATACAATACGTTTCACGAAACTAGCGATTCCATAGTAGCGCTTCTGGTGGCAGATTTTTGTAAAGGTTTTCTAAACGTGTAACTAAAAAAGCGCAGTAATTTAAAAATGACGCAGCAATCAACCATCGAACAGCTGGCTCTGCTGGTATGAATTCTACCTTCCACTAACAAAAATTGTATAACCACCATATATGGAGTACCATAGATACTCAATGATAAACAAATAATTATTTTTATTCATATTTTTTAAAAACCGTGCAGTATTCAAAATTGCCGCGTATTGTGTGCAAGTTTGAGAAACCGTGGAACACTGAAATTTCACCACCGGAATCGCCACTGCGGAGTCGCTAGTTTCGTGAAACTTTTTTCTGTTGGTAGTATTAAGTATTAAAAAATACTATAATTGAGATAGTGGGTAAATCACGGATAAAACTTAATGAACTTACTGTACTTGATTTTATTTTACAGAAAAGAGCATTTTTGTATTTACTGCAAACTATATCATTGTATTTGTCAGATTACACGCAAATCAAATTACATTATTATCTTTAACATTTTCAAGTAAGTACCTACTTTATAGAATTATTACAATATATGTAAATACCTATATTTTTATAACCACAAAAACACATACTTAAGAAAATACAATTAGTTTTTGGTTTACTTCCTCAGAATTTATTATGAAGTATATTTATGCAAACTTAAGAGTCTTTAGTCTTTTGTGATATCTTTATTTATATTCTTCCATAGAAAACAATGAACTTGGCTTCAATTTCAAATTTAGTTATGTTGCCAATATTTGTAAAATATTTTTAAAAAATTGTATCAATATTTTAAACATAGATTATTTCTAATCACATGATTAAGTATACTATAAACTTAATATGTATGCTTATAGTAAAACTCAACATTATATGTTAATTAGAATACTAAATGTCATTTCAAATAAATTTAAAGTGTAAAAACTGCATTAAATATGTCATAGAATAAATCAAATAGTTTTTAATATTTAAGGCTATATGTTTATTTTAGTGCATACTAACATAGATTAGTAAGTAGGTACTAATATGTTTATACTATTAATTTTTTTTACTTTGATGCTGTTTGCGGTTTCTCTAACAATTTAAGATTACTTTTTTAAAAGTAACACATTTTACTGTGTTTACATTTTACTAAAAGTTATTTAATAATATTATATATAAAAAGATTACAAAAATGTATTTAAAATGAAAACATATATTTGTTATTTATCAAGTACTTTGTTTATGTCATATACACTAATCTACATATTATATTAGAAATAATATAGTATGTAAAAGTTGTAAATGTAAGAACAAGTGATTGATTGGATTAAATCAATATCTTATCCTAATTCAAGCATTAAAAGCCTAGTAGTATATGTTCCTATTTATCCTACAAGAAAACTAAAAAAGTAATTTAAATGGTCTTATGATAAAATATTTTTTATCAACAAATTGGTGTATAATGGTAGGTAAGCTTATTTTATTATTTGTAGGAATCTTTTATTATACAGGAACTGTAGTTATGCTACCAGATTGAAAAAAAAAATTAGTTTCTTAGTATTAAATATTTTTATTGTATTTATTAGTTTAATTTAAAGTTTGTTTACTATTTACTGGTTTTTATTTACTTTTTAAATAGGTAATTTTCTAAATTCCTGGGTACAAAAGAAAAATGGAGGAAGATGAAGGAAATTTTATAACTACCCATAAAATTATAAGTTCTGAAGAACTTAAGTAAGATTATATGTTTTATTATAAATCTTAAAAATATTTTGAAGGCTAATTTTTTTAAAATTTTTTAGGAAGTTAAAGGATCACCGTAAGTCATTCTATAATAATATTGCCAACGGATCAGTAACTGAACAGCAATCATTGAAGCAAATAAAATTTGAATCACGTTTACTTAATTCGTGTAGATTTAAAATTGATGTAAGATCATTATTATTATTATTATTATTATCTATACAGTAAATAATATTCTTGTTATTAAATTTATATTTTTGATTGTTTTTCCTTTAGCAATTGAAAAGAGAAAATAAAAACAACAGTGTTAACACAGAACTACTCAAATCTTTTGCCAATCGCATTAATGACATGTATATTATATTTTTTAATTCATTCAAATTTGACCTATTCATGATTTCAGACTATGTACAATTTGGTATGCAAAATGTAAGTAAAGGTAGTTTTTATGAATATGGATATCAGTTAAAAGACATCAAGTTCTAATTAATTTTGTTTAAGAAAAAACGATATATATGCCATCTTATAGTTTCATCACAAAAATTTACGATATTTCCACAAACATTTCCTTAAAATTTCTTTGTATTTAAATTATACATTTAAATGATCATCACTTTCAAAAAATTTCCATCAGCATCTACATATTTTATACACAGTTACATATGACATTGACAATATATATAATCAGATTTGAATATGTAAATCACTAAGTAGGTAATATGTGTCATTAATGTATTTTCTATTAATTAAATATTACACCAATTATTCTATACACAATTTTTTGATTATTTGATTTCCAAATCAACTGCACATTTTATGGATATTATAATTAGAGAAATAAGTACTTACTAATTATGTGTCTGGACTTATTTGTTTAACAATAAATGTTGTTTCCTAAAATGTTTTGATTTTAGAAATGTTTAACCACTAAATGTATACATGTATTGGATGATTTGATGTCACGATGTCGTGTCAGTCCTGAGGTGTATATATGTTGTGCACATTATGCATTTTATGTATGTGATGATATAACAGCAACGAGACGATTTCTATCAAATGCCGTTAAGTTTCATCCTAAATATCAAAATTTATATACAGAAGAATTTTGCATTGAAATCCAATATATGGATAAGATGGGTGGTACTTCGGCTTCAGACAAATATCAACATTATATTAAACTTTTTAAAGATGACATGAATTTCCATTTTTCTTTGGTAGATACAATTTTAAAATTCAATGCAGTTACAACATTACACTGTCTTGTTGTCAGGTATAAAACCAAAAAAATTATAACAATTTGCATGATATATATAATGTATACATGTATATATATATTTAAATATATTTGTTTAATGAATTATTTTGTAGTGATATGGTCAAAATATACTGCCATAGTGAATTAATGTGGCAAAACTTAGCTAAGATTAATTTGAAAGGTTTTGCATACAACTTTGAATCATGTGACAAAAATATATATTATGTTCAAGACGACTTACAATGTATAAGGTTAGAAAATCTATTATAAAGAATTTTATTTGTCCAGGATCTATTTTCTAAAACAGTATTATTTAATATTAATAACAAAAATATTTGAGTACATTAATTTGCTTTAAATGCATAAACAAATATCTTCTATACAAATTTTATTAAAGCATTTTATGTAATTGATAATGAATGATAATAATTTATGAATTGATTTCAAATTGAAAAGAATAGAGTCAGGTTATTGACCCTCTCCTTTTGTGATTTTCATTTTTTCTTGTTTTTTTTTTTTTATCACAGAAAGCGAATTAGGTTACAATTACTTTTGTTTAATGCATATTTAAGTTCCCATCCTGACTGAAATCATTATATCTCCCAATTTTTTTCACTATTCGACAATATAATATTATCAATATAAAAACAAAAAAGTATTACTTTTAGTAGTCGATATCAAACTCTTTTTTTAAAAAAAAAAATTATTTTCGTAAGTTTTTCCGTTTTCCCTATGTTTTTTAATGATTAAGAAAACTGCTTGGAAAATAAAAAAATTACCCCACTAAAGTAAATGCATCCAATAGATACACAATATATTAGTATGCATAAAACAGTAGTATCCATTATAAGGGATGATTTAAAGTCATAATATTATTCTAAAATAAACATTTATATATTTTTATAATCCAAAAAATGCATTTATACAGCATTTGTTTTTGGATTTTTGATTTCTGGATACTACAAAATCGTAAAATATGCAATTGTAAATATTATCTATTTGTTCAGTATATAACACCCGAAATGTAAATTAAATTAGTATCCATACAAACATTAAATTTAATAGATAGAAAATAAATTATGAAATTTCAGAAATATCCGACCCCTATATTTATTATATTTGCATAGAATTTTTTATCTTACATGAAAAACCGGTGGTATCAGAAATCTATCAAAAATGGCCATACAATTTTCTAATATATTTCGTACATTTTTCCAGTTTTCCCATGTTTTTATCCAGTTATTCTAATTTATTATGAAAACAGCTAGACATTTCAACAAATGACTTCCTTAAAGTACCTTCCCAGTCAGATTACCTTTCAGAAAAAGTGATATTAATGCAAATCAGAGCAAAATTGCTGGTTGAAAAGTTGTTCACAGAAAAAAATTAAGTAAAATAACCATCATTGTAAAATTAATACATGAGCTCCTCTCAAAGTCTAAAATAAATTTTCAATTCAAATTTATTAATTAATAATAATTTGTAGATTTTAGTTATTTATTAGAAATACTTAGTTTGAGGTTAATAACAGCAACACCGAAAATATCTACTAATAGATATTTTTTATAAACATTCAATCAAATTATTTAATTAGTTATTGTGTACTCATATAATTGTATATAAATATTTTAATACTTTTACATATATTATTTAATTATATGAAATACTACTATATTTTGTAAATAAAATTATTTTCTTCATGCTATAAATAAATAATAATATATTTTATTTTTCAGTAATTGTTTTGGTACTTATGAGAAAGGTCTGGAGAAAGATATATTAGCTATAGATGTACACCAGCGGTTGTGGAATTTATTTTTGGATGAAATGATGAATATAAATGATTCACCTCGAGTGAATAATACAATTATTAAAGATTATGTTAATAACAAAATCGAGCAAATATTTTATAGAGCATGTTCTGAGAATAAAATTCGGAAACCAGATTATTTTATATTTTGGGTATGATTCACATTTTATTCTTGAAATTATATTTTATTTTAAGTTATATAATATTAAAGCTTCAGGTAAAAATAACAGTAGCTCAAATAAGGGTGCCTAGTCCACCCCAAAAAAAACTGGGGTCACCTCAAAAAAATAGAATATAAGTATATAATTTGAAATAAAGTGGTTATTAGTATTTTTTACTTTATTCAGTAATTAAGTCAATATTTTACATAATCGGTGTATGTCTATCTTAAAAATATTTGGGTTAAGTTTTTACATCTACAATATATATCACTGTACTGAGTAACTACATACAATAATAATACCTACTAAAATAAAATATATGTTCAAAAAATTAATTTTTTGAAGTATGTATAACATAATATAAATATCATTAATGAAGAAATATTAATTAATTTTGAAAAAAATAGAAAGAAATGTACAATTAAAAATTTCAATATTATTAAACAACTTAATACGTATCCATATTTATACATACAATTTGCAATTGTTAATTGGAAACACTATAACTCTGCATATATTAAATATATTTAAATTCTATTTATATAATTATATTGGATCCCTAAAAACTTTTTTATACATTCATTAAACTAATTATACCATTTGTATGCCATTTAATTTCACATATGTAGAGGTGTCAAGTTTTGAAAATGTTATGCTATGAAATGTTATGTTCACTATTTTATTAACATATGTACAGTTTACCTAAATCTTACCATACATTTCCTATTTTTATTTTCTTTAAATTATTTGTTAAATAATTACTTAAATATAATTGTTTGTGGTTTTTATGTTATAATATTATAATAGTATTAGTATCATGAAAAATCACAAGAAAAACAAATTTAAAAATACCAATTTATTTTTGAAAGTTATATGTTTTATATGGTAAATGTATATTATGTATGTTAAATTCTGAGTGGAGCTAGGAATGTGTAGGTTTTATAATAGTGTTTTATTTTTTTGTTTTTTTTCCTGTTGATAACTTTTCTACCAAAAATTTTAGTTCCTTTTACATTGATAGCACTTTTCCTGAAAGGAAATCTGACTGAGGTGGTACTTTAGGGATGGCATTTTTTGATTCTCATAGTAATTTTCCCAATAAGTAAGAAAAAAGGGAAAATGTACTAAATTTAGGTATTACTAAAAAATATTATTACATAAAATATTTTATAGATATGTAATTATTTTGCCATAATGTGACACTATATATTGTTGACATAGTATAACACTATTAATCAAACTTTGCTCAGAATCGTTGTTCATTAGCAATGGTTAATCATTGTATACAAATATATATTAACTTTCTCCTCTACTTTCCTAACTTCACACCTACAATAGTGGCTCACCCACATATGAAGTATGACAATCTTTTCTTTTTTTATAATATGAGAACCATAAGTATCTGAGCTCTGTAATTATTGAAGTATATTCATTTTTATTCTATATGCAACATATATGTGCAACATTAATACAATAATATTTTTTAATTTATATATAATACTATAATTTAATTTATAAATATGGACACTACAGGATATAGTGTTATTATGTAGGCCACTGCTGTAGGTGAAAGTTAATAAGTATTAGGGTAATTTTGTTAATATACTGTGCATGGGGAACAATTAATTCAACACAATTATATTATATAATATATTATCATTATATTATTATTATTTATTATATTGCATTGTTTGTGTTTTGCATAAACTTTGTCATGTATTTGAACTTAAACAATGAGAACAATTTGAATTCATATAATAGTTGTCCTATGCTTTACCCATACACATAGTATTGATCTAAAATGTTCTTAAAAAACATGTTTTCCTTTTTTTTCGTGACTTATTATATTGTGATCTAGTTATCTTGAAATTTTGAAAATTGTATAATATCTAGAATGTATTTATATAAGTTAAAATTCTGTGAAAATGATGTATATTTAATTTTAAAAAAATGTCCCTTTAAGCCCTCTATAAATTTATCCTATCTGTGTCGCATATACATAAAATAAGATTGAATACAAAGATCATATTATCTTGTATACAGTGTGATCACAATAAGTGGAAGTACTCAATAACTATGTGCAGGCTTCATATATTTCAATTCTGCTTTTTCAGCTAACTAAAAAACATAATTATATACCTTTTTAAATAATTAGACTATTTTCGTAATTAATTTTGCACATATGCACAATAATTTTTTTGACCATAAATTATTATTTTTTGGATTTTTTAATGAATTAGTTAAACTTTTCTAAGTTAAAAAAAAAATGGCTGACTTATAGCAGTTTTAATATTTTATCTTATTTGCATGAGTAAAACTGGTAAAACAGATTATAAAAGGATTTGCACTAACTTAAGCTAGTATTTACACTTCAATATCTTCTCCAATAGCATTTCCTCGATTTGGTTGTTGGTTAATAGCCCCTTTGGGAAAAGAACTGGTGTCTCTTAAATTTTTTTTAAGTTTATAAAAAAAATATGCGAAGGAGATTGTCTATTTGAATTTATAAATAAGAAAGTCATTTTATGAGAAATTAAGCAGAGAGAATTAAGTTTATTGTTAAGTCATAGTTAATTGGATAATGAAGAGCTAGAAGTATGACAAAACCTATATTTCTTTGGCATTCCTAATATGTAAAAAGCATGTCAACTTTTTCTGAATTATTATCCATAATAAGTAATAACTAATAAATAAGTATTAAATTTGACTTAAAAACCTATTTATAAATTATAATACAATTACTGAGATAAGGTTAATAAAGGTTAATAGGTAAAACAGGTATTTCATAAATTCGATAAGTTGGATAAATTGGTTAGTTAATGTTATTTGTATTATTACATATTTATTATTATTCACTAAGTACATATTTTATAATTTGTTTTACCAGTTATACCCTTGCAAATAAGATAAAATATTCAAATAACTCAGCCATTTTTAACTTAGAAAACAATTTCAACCACTAAAAGTCATTAAAAAATACAAAAAATAATTGTGGTTAAAAATAGGCCATACCATTTAAAGGAGAAAGTTATTTTACACATGCACAAAATTAATTGTCACAAAAATAGTCTAATTATTTGAAAAGGTATATAATTATGTGTATTAGTTAGCTGAAAAAGCAGAATTAAAATATATGAAGTCTGCACATAGTTATTAAGTGTTTCCACTTATCGTGATGCCACTGTGTACTATACTAGTTGATTCACTTTGCTTTGCCAAAATTATCTAATAATTTTAAGCTGTGCCAACTTTTTATTATTTTTACCTTTATTCCTGTTTTGCTCGCATCAGTATATCAAACAAAAAAAAAAATAGGGGGAAATATATTGGCTCTTAGGCCCCCCTGGATAATAATATACTTTTTCAAACAATTTGTTAGATTATGCTATATTAGATTATGTTATATTGTCGATTGTAAGCTGAAGGTGTCCACTGCTAACATGGATTATATTTAATCCATAATTGGTGTTGTAGTATAATTGACAACTGGTTGTGAATAATAAGCCATTATATGTTATTTTCGTTTATTTAGAATAAGACTCCGCTCATACTCTGTTAAGACAATGCATAAAATGCATTAAATGCATTAAAATAAAATTCCATAGGACAACAACATTATGTCAATTATATTTTAAAATTGACAACTAAATTTTAAAACCAACAAAATCAACATACCTAACTACCGCCATCTTGTACATGATGCAAAACTAATGACAATTTATTTATTTATTTATTTAGGCAAATCACTCAAAAAACAATGAGCTAATTATATTACAGAAATCAGTTGAAGCATTACCAGACAACATAATACTTTGGAATAAATTGTTATCCTATTTTGTATCACATGATAATTACAATGCAATTATGGAAACTTTAAATAAAGCTGTTGATATTTTACAAAACAATTCATTGCCTTTATGGGAAGTAGCAGAGCTATACATGATGAATGTAGATGATTGTTATGTATGTTCAAATAATAGACGCCTATTACATTAAGGATCTGTGTATTAAACACATATTATGAATAAAATATAAAATAATACTTAAAATACGAAAATACTATTAAAATATCTACTTTGGTAATATTAAACTTTTATTTTTAAGTGTTATCAATTATTTAAATCAAAGATTCTAATAGTAGGTATTGTTTTAATTCTCTATAGAGAATAGAAAAGTCTCTATAGGGAATAACTATAGGATTTCCATAGTTATTCTACAAATAAATTAATTTAATAATTATTTAATTTTGTTTTTTGTAGTTGGAACAATTTTACGAACAAACCGCAATTGTAGAACCATACAGTGATATCAATAAGGTATTCAGATTAAAGTATTTGAAATGGCGAACTTTGAGATTTGGAATAAAGAGTGGACGTTCGATTTTCAATAAATTATATCGCCTAGAACCAAAAAGTCTAGATTTATACAAGCAAATGATTGCATATGAAAATAATCATAATTATCCTAGAAATAAAAAGTATATAAGATATTTGTACAGTGAGGCATGTTCTGAATTTGGGGCAAAAAATATTGGTAAGTCTGGTCTGAGGACTTGAATAACAATAGTTTTTCAATTATTAATTATTTTAAATAATATTAACAGACATTTGGGCTGACTGTATGCGGTTTGAATATGCTTGTGGGGTACCGATAATGGTAGACAAGATTTATAATGCATCAAGAGTATTTTTAGAACCAAATTTATTTACAGCTTTAGGGGAACTAAAAAATAGACTTGATATTGAATTTCAGTAAGAATTTTAACTTGATTTTAGCTTTGATAATGAATCTAAATTATGTCTGTCTGCTTATATATAAAATTTATTTATTTTTTTTTTTATTTTAGGAGTAATACAGAAGTAATAGAAATTGATAGTGACTAAATTTTTAAAACATTACAAAAAAATATGTATATATTTCATTTTTATTTTTCCCAATTATATTATCTATAGTTACTACATATTATTATGTTACAATTCAACAGTGATTGTGGCCACATTATGTATTGTGTTCTTTGAAAAAATATTTAGAGTAATCAACATATTATGTATTGCACAATTTAAAAAAAAAAAAAAATATTTTATTAGAGGTTCAATAATGTTAAGAATCACCGAGTTATATATAAAATTAATATTTCAATAATTTGTATGAGCAAATACTTATTTTAAATTGTTTACTTTAATATAATTTATACCTTTAAAGTAATAGTAAATATAATTGATTATTATAGTTTACATAATTGTAATATAAATTATTAGTGATTGGTATTATAATATTTTGACTGCAAAAAATATTAAAACATTGACATAGGGGAGATGGTTGAGGGTTAAATACCCCCCCACCACAGATCAAACAGAGATGTTTCTAAATTTAACAGGTTTATTATAAGTTGTACANTATATATAAAATTAATATTTCAATAATTTGTATGAGCAAATACTTATTTTAAATTGTTTACTTTAATATGATTTATACCTTTAAAGTAATAGTAAATATAATTGATTATTATAGTTTACATAATTGTAATATAAATTATTAGTGATTGGTATTATAATATTTTGACTGCAAAAAATATTAAAACATTGACATAGGGGAGATGGTTGAGGGTTAAATCCCCCCCCCACAGATCAAACAGAGATGTTTCTAAATTTAACAGGTTTATTATAAGTTGTACATAGAGGCCAAACACAAATAATTGATTGTAATGTATTTTTTTTTTTTTTTTTTTTTTTTATGAGTTTTAAAATAAAATTTTGATAAAAATTGTAAATATTATGGCCTTTCAAAACATGTATAACCGAACTCTACTCAATATCGTTTTTTGTTAGCAATGATTAATTTTTACATACATATTTACATTAAATTCACCTCTATATCCTATCTCGCCTACAACAGTGACTCAGCTATCATGCAAAATTTGTCCCTCTTTTTTATGTTCAAATTTATACTACACTTTATTAAAAACTTTGTCAACTGTATATATTTTTAATTTTCAAATAAAGTTCTATTCATCTATATTCAACCAATTTTGTTTTTTTATAAGGATTTTTAAGGGTTTCTGTTTTGGTTAGGATCTTTAACAAATATAAAATACATGTTACCGTTATTTTCGATTCTTTAATTTACCCAGGGTTTTAGGTTCCATAAACTGTTCTTTTCGGTCTGGTCTCAGTTCCTAGTTGTGAGTGACAATTGTCTAGTAAAATATGAGTTAATTTTAATAAATTTTTCAAACCATTTTATACCTATTTTTCTGTGTATTTTTATTTTAGTAACATACTGAGATGTTTGTGGCAATAAATCATTTTATTTAAGATAGTAGGACAGTGTTGTAATTATTTCTCATCTAGTACTCTTTATCATGGTCAGTTGAAAGAGTGTCATTCATTTAGGCGAATGACCCAAAATTTACCTGTAAAAATCATAGTGTTTGGAAAATTTATCTTTGTATGTTATAAGATGTTGTAAAATTTGTACATTATCATATGGGTACTCGAGGGTATAATGGGTTAAGATGGGTAACTTTACGAAAGAAAAACCAAAAGAATTTTTCCAGAGAATTGAATTAAAAATTTTTATTGTTTTGTGTCTGGTAAAAGATAAAATATATTTATTAATATATGTATTATACAAATTTTGACTTCAAAAAACATATAATTAAATATAAATACAGTACTTATAATTAAATACCTAAACTAGTGGAAAGCTTATATTATTGAGACAGTGAGACCAAATATTGAAATAATTATTTAAAATCCAATATTTCAGACTTAAAAAACTATATATATTTTTGGCTACATACTATATAAGCTCGCCCAATGATGCATTAGACATATAAAGGACCGAATAAATTTCGCCCAAATGGTATGTGATTTTTGGTTGACAACACCACACTCCACTATTTTCCCATTTCTTTCTCATAAAAGATTCCTCTACTCATTCGGCCATCAGATCCTGCCTTGGCGACTCTTCATCTTTTTCGTCTTCCTGCGAGTGCGTTTTGTTCCGGATTCTTACATTCCAATATCATCATTTTTAACTAAATCAAGTGTTTATTTTATCATTCCAACAAGAAAAATTACTACTATTTAATTAAATTTTTTTTCTAATCAACATCTAAAAATCTGAGAAAAGACAGGAAAATGTATAAACAACGAATATGTCAAATTCAACCAAAATATTGTCTCCTAAGGTATTTAGGCATTGTCATAATTTCCTGAATTGCCAACACTACCAGTAACATATGTATAATAAATACATATATTAAATATATATATTACGAAATAATCAATTTTTCAAAATTAATCAATAGTCAAAAATGTATAAATATAGTTAGAGATAAGGAGAGTTTTACGTAATATAACAATATCTAATAATAGTTTAGATAAAACTACTC